GGCGCTGTCGGAAGGTCAGCGCCGATGGGGAGCGGGCGCTGTCGGAGGGTGAGGGAGCGGGCGCTGTCGCAGGGTTGGCACCGAGGGGGGCGGGCGCTGTCAGAGGATCAGTGCTGATGGAGGAATGCACTATTCATATAAATAATTTGGATGTGAATGTAGGAGGGATGGTTAGTAAGTTTGCGGATGGCACCGACATTGGGGGTGTAGGGGACAACGAAGGGGGTTACCTCAGAGTACAACAGGACCTCGATCAGATGGGCCGAGGAGGGGCAGATGGAGTTTAATTTAGAGTGAGGTGCCGCATTTTGGGAAAGGCACATCAGGGCAGGACTTATACACCTTAAGGGTAAAGTCCTGGGGGAGTGTGGCTGAGCAGAGAGACCTCGGGGGGAGCAGGTACATAGTTCCTTGAAAGTGGAGACGCAGGTAGACAGGGCGGTGAAGAAGGGGTTTGGGACGTTTGCCTTTAGTGGTCGGTGCGTTGAGTGTAGGAGTTGGGAGGGTCATGTTGCGGCTGTGTTGGTGAGGCCGCTTTGGGAATACTGCGTTCAATCCCGGTCTCCCTGCTACAGGAAGGATGTTGGGAAAGGGTTCAGAAAAGGATGTTGGAGGGTTTGAGCTACAGGGAGAGGCTGGGGGCTATTTTCCCCGGAGCGTCGGAGGCTGAGGGGGTGACCTTGTAGAGGTTTATAAAACCATGAGAGGCATGGATAGGGTGCATACCATTTCCCCCCAGGCTAAGGGAGTCCAAAACTAGAGGGGCATAGGTTTAAGGTGAGAGGGGGGAAAGGGACCCGAGGGGCAACTTTTTCACGCAGAGGGTGGTGCGTGTGTGGAACGAGCTGCCAGAGGAAGTGGGTGGGGGCTGGTACAATGACAACATCTAAAAGGCATCTGGATGGGGACGTGGATAAGGAAGGGTTTAGAGGGATAGGGGCCAAATGCTGGCAAACGGGACTAGACTAATGTAGGATATATTGGCTGGCACAGATGAATTGGGCCGAAGGGTCTGTTTCCATGCTGGATGACTCTACGGATCTGTGGAAACTTTGAGGGAACGTTCTCTTTTTAGAGATGCACATGGACAATTTCGATCGTGGGTCTCATTCTGCTCCATGCCCAATCCAAAATGGCCGCCATCCTGACACTTGGCCGAAAAAGTGGCCACTCGGGCTTCATGTTTTAGTGAGGCCAAGGGATGGAATCTTGCCGGGAGGGCCATACGCTAACCGCACCCCCCGACCCCACTCCCGCAACCTGCTCGCCCGTGGGATTTCCAGGGGCTCAGCCTAGACCTCCCCGCGCCGCCCTTCGGCCCATTTACCTGTGCGTTGCCCAGCTTCGTCCAATCCGGTTGCAGGTAGTAGATTATTCCCTGCCAGGATCCTGGGAGAGTGACACCCCTCACGAGCAGGATGACCAGGATGATGTAGGGGAATGTGGCTGTGAAGTAGACGACCTGCAGCAGTTGTTATGGGGGCGGGGGGGTTGGTTTTGGGGAGGTGAAAAAGCCCAGTCAGCTTTTCGCCCACAGACTGCATCACACGTTCACCCACTGCCTTCCCTCAACACGCCCAGAATCCAACCGGTCACTGCTGCCTTCGGGTCAGAGATGGTTTTGGGGTCTGCAAGGGGTTTGGGTCCATCGGGACGGTGTAGAGCGGGAGTGAATGGGGAAGGAGTTGGGGGTCCATGGGGACGTTGGAGAGTGGGAGTGAACGGGAAATGGTTTGGGTCCATTGGGACGGTGTAGAGCGGGAGTGAACGGGAAAGGGTTTGGGTCCATTGGGACGGTGTCGAGCGGGAGTGAATGGGAAGGGGTTTGGGTCCATTGGGATGGTGTAGAGCGGGAGTGAACGGGAGGGGGTTTGGGTCCATTGAGACGGTGTCGAGCGGGAGTGAATGGGAAGGGGTTTGGGTCCATTGGGATGGTGTAGAGCGGGAGTGAACGGGAAGGGGGTTTGTGTCCATTGGGACGGTGTAGAGCGGGAGTGAACGGGAAGGGGGTTTGGGTC